TCAAAAAAAAAAAAAAAACAAAAAAAAAAAACAAACGTAAACGATCGTTTTAGGTTTGCGTTTATTTTGTAGAAACCCTTTTAAGAAAATAGATGGAAGGTTAAATTTGTCGAGTTCAAAAACGATTCATTCATTATTACATTTAAATATTTTGCTCGTTAAACACGAGAAATATTATATGCTTTCAAATTTGAAAACAGATATGTTAAAATAAATAAAGTTATATGAACCCATAGTCTATAGTATTGATTTATCGTATAGAATATTCGTGTCTTATTGAAAGCAGGTGCATCTTTTATCCCATGTGAGCTAAAGACTCAATGGTCTTAAAAGGAAGCTTCATTAATTTTGGAGTTACAGAACGACTTATTCTAGTCAAAGTCATATTTTAATATGTCGCTCGTTTGCCACGCGGAATATAATACGCTTTTTTTTGACTGAATATAATATGTTCCAAAATTTTAGTAATAACAATAACGCAATGGTAAACAAATTTCAATGAATTAATTAAGCTTCATTAAAAATCGATCTTACTACACTTCTGCTACATATTAGTATTTGACAACTACAAAGTGAAAAACATCTTTAATTTGTAAACAGTTAGATTATACGTCACGTATTATTAGTTTATATTTATCAGTTAAATTATTAACCGAATAATATGTTCCAAAATTTTAGAAATACAGTAGAACCTCTATAAATTAATACTCTATAAATTAATATATATTAAATATCTCTATAAATTAATATAATTTTACAGTCTCAATTGAGTTTTTGGTTCAATTAGTATATCTATAAATTAATATCTCTCTAAATTAATAAAAAAATAAAATTTTGGCGTAATCTCAACATTATTAATTTATAGAGATTTCACTGTAATAATAATGCAACGATAAATACCGTTCCAGGAATTAAGCTTTATAAATAATGTTACTAAACTTCTTTTATTTCTAATCATTTAGATCATATGTCACTTACCATTTTATATATTTATCAATTAATCATCACCCGAATCAAAACCTTCATTAGAAAATTATCACTGGACACTTAGACCATGCAATGAATCATCCTATATCCAATTATGCACTAATAGTTTAGTGTGAATAAGAAGAAGATAGCAACTGGTTAACGTCAATGATAATTAAATATTAAGATTTGGTGGTAAACATGATCTGGGTCGATATAGTAGCAAATAGAAAAATAATCCACGACGCCTGGTGGTAGTTGGCATAGTAAAAATAAAATAAAAATTTGAGATCAATCAGTGAAAGGAAATCGCTATATAAAGGAACTAGGTTGTATTGTTAACGACCATCCCAAACATATTCTTGAAGAAGAATAAAACAAACTAAAAACCAAAAATGGCTCTGCATAAGTTTCCTCTCATGGGGCTGCTTTTGCTCCTAACCATCGTTGTCTCTCCGGCAACAGCCGACGGACCTGTTTGCCCAGCGACTACCAAACTTAGCCGGGCAAGTTTCCCTGAAGGTTTCTTATTTGGCACGGCTACTGCAGCATATCAGGTACATAGAAGTTCATGTGAACACTTTTTGAAATATGTACTATGAATACCCATAAACTATTTTACACAGAGTAATATGTTACCATTTAGATTGTAAGATTCATCTAGTCGGAACTGTTGAATCCATATTTATCATTTTTCAGAATCGTTTTCTTTGATTATTGTAGAATAGAAAAAATTATAGATAATAAAATAATTTATATGCTAGTGCTTCATGCACTATAATTTCTAGACGATGCTATATAGGTCAAACAATATAAATAAAAAACTACAGAATGTTGGCAGACAAAAAAAAAAAACTAAAGAATAAACTTAACTTTGACACTCTGGTCTTCTTAATAACCATTCAAATATGTTATATAGAGAATTCAACTACATACTTTACATATCATTTCTAAACACAACTATTTTCTTTATATCAGGTTGAAGGTGCAGTGAATGAAACTTGTCGTGGACCGTCCTTGTGGGATATCTACTGCAAGAGATTTCCATGTTAGTGCTTCTACAATATTTACTTATTTTTTCACTACCGTGCCTAGATTTTTTTCGCTAATTAATTTCGAAAATCATTTTTACATTACAGCCAGATGCAACAACGATAACGGCGATGTGGCCGTTGATTTCTTCCATCGTTATAAGGTATAAAAATAGTACAATGGATTGAAAAGATTAATCATCACGTACATTTAGTAAATATTCATATTGAGCCCTATTACGTGGTAATAATTGTCTCGTCTGAAATAATGTTTTATAGGAAGATATCCAACTAATGAAGAACCTAAACACAGATGCCTTCAGAATGTCTATCGCCTGGCCAAGAATATTTCCTCGTGAGTATATGTGATTCCGATTAATAATTTTTATCTAATATTAGTCAAATTTGGTGTGCATATAATAAAAATAATTATTAGTAACATATTAAGAAACAAACAAAAATGTCTAATCAGATGGGAGAAAGGAGAAGGGAGTGAGTCAAGCTGGTGTTCAATTTTACCACGACCTCATCGACGAGCTCATCAAAAATGGTATAGTGGATATACAAAAATATATAAATTACGTAACAAAACTACATACATATTATATGGTTATTATCCTTAATTGTGTTCTCTAATTAAAAAAGACGTTTTATTGTGATTAGGTATAACTCCATTCGTGACGGTCTTTCACTGGGACACTCCACAAGACTTAGAGGACGAATATGGCGGCTTTTTAAGTGAAAGGATTGTGTAAGTTTTATTATAAAAAATGCCAGTTTGTATAAATATATATCACTATATCATATAGTATTAACCACTAACGTATTAAATTAATTAACTCAATATAAAAATACAGGAAAGACTTCCGGGAATATGCAGATTTTGTTTTCCAAGAATATGGTGGAAAAGTAAAACATTGGATCACTTTCAACGAGCCATGGGTTTTCTCCCACGCCGGTTATGATGTTGGCAAGAAAGCACCAGGACGTTGCTCAAAGTACGTCAAAGAAGAATGCCACGAAGGACGATCAGGATTCGAGGCTTACCTCGTCACTCACAATCTCCTTAACTCTCATGCAGAAGCTGTTGAAGCTTTCCGACAATGTGAAAAGGTAGCTAGTTAGCCCACAAATTAAATCATAATTAACTATCAGACTTTCGGATATGAAAATGATTTGTTTTGTGTTATGTTTATGGTCACAGTGTAAAGGTGGTAAGATCGGTATTGCACATAGTCCGGCTTGGTTTGAACCACATGACATTGCTGATTCACAAGATGGTGCGTCTATTGACCGTGCACTTGACTTTATTTTGGGATGGTAAGTAGTTAAGAATATTGGCTATGACATTAAATAGTTAAATTATGATGTTATTTTGGTCATAATATATATATTTGATTATTTTCTAGGCATTTAGACACAACTACGTATGGAGATTATCCACAGGTCATGAAAGACATTGTTGGACATAGATTGCCTAAATTTACCGATGCACAGAAAGCAAAACTGAAAAACTCAGCCGACTTCGTTGGACTCAACTATTACACTTCAGTGTTTTCAAACCATTTGGAGAACCCAGATCCTTCTAAACCAAGATGGATGCAAGATTCTCTTATTAACTGGGAAAGTAAGTTTGTTTTATTGTCCTTAATTGAAACCAATCTTAATTTGTATTTGGTGCTAATCAAAATGTATTTTAATCATTTTCAGACAAGAATGCCTACAACTACAGCATTGGTAGCAAGGTACACATTTAAATTTGATATTAGTATCTGAGAAACTAATTTGTTATTAGCAAATTGATAACACATTCACTTATGTTGCATTTCAGCCTATCACCGGTGCACTTCCTGTGTTTGCGAGAGGTTTTAGAAGCCTTTTGAAGTACATTAAGGATAAGTATGCCAACCCTGAAATTATAATCATGGAAAATGGTAAGTATAGATTCCATCATTATTTTTTAATTTAGTTTAAGAATGAATCTAAAACATATTCATCTTGATCTTCTAGGATATGGAGAGGAACTTGGTGCTGCAGATTCAATTGAAGTTGGTACAGCTGATCACAACAGGAAATATTATCTTCAGAGGCATCTTTTGAGTATGAATGAAGCTATTTGGTAAGTCATATTCATCTTCTTATAATATACTAACAATTGTGTTGCAAAATCTAATTAAAAAAAACATTTGTATATATAATCTATGCAGCATTGACAAGGTGAATGTTACTGGATACTTTGTATGGTCATTGTTGGATAACTTTGAGTGGCAAGATGGTTACAAGAACAGATTCGGACTCTACTACATTGACTTCAAGAACAACCTCACACGATACCAGAAAGAATCTGGCAAGTATTACAAAGAGTTCCTTAGTCAAGGTGTTCGTCCATCCATGATCAACAGAGATGAGCTTTGAGCTATGTTATGAGGATTTGGTTTCATGTTGCAATGTTTCTTTCTCTTTGTATCCATCCGTTTGTGATTGACCCAAGACCTATGAGGTCTTTTGGTTATAATAATAAATGAAATGTTTCAAATATCTATTAGCTCTCAAGTGTTTGGATCAAATATCAACAGGGGAAGCATGGTGAATGCATATAAACCATTCCCCATTGATCTTTTCAAAGACATTAGTCACAAACTGAGCTCCCCAGCTACTACTCCCTTTGGTCTTCACAAACTCCATACACGTTACATAACCCACATCTCCTCGAACATGAACCTCAACATCTTTCAACTCAATCAGTAAAGGAAACTCGTAGTTCATCCACACAACTTCCCAGCTTTCCATCACGTCGTCATACCCGGTAATCCCTTTAGCTCCTGGATGGACACAACAGGGCTTTCCGGTTTTTGACCATAAGGACTGCATCGCAGCTAAATCCCCGTTTCTGAAAGCTTGGTAGAACCGAGTGTTGGCAGACAAAACAGAGGCTTTGTTGTCTTCTTGAAGGTATTTTAGCTTATCCCTGATTTTAGCTGCCTCCACGTAGTTTTCTTCTATGATCGCCGTCTCGAGATCTTGCTTCAACGTGTCCTCGTCTACGGATATGCTTTCAACATCTGTGGTTTGGTTATTCTCTTCCCGTTTAACTCTACATGGCCTTAGACGAAAGCCTACTTCAAAAAAAAAAACAGAACCAAGACTAAGAAACGGGTCTCTTACCTAAACTAAATCTTCTCTAACTAAATTAACTAAATCTTCTCTAACTAAACCCAAGCTTGTAAGAAAACTCAGAAGAACCTTTGTTATGCAGCTTGAGAGGACCAAATGTGAATGTGTTGCTGGGTGAAACCATGTTGTAGTGAATGAGATAAGACTTAGGCAAGTGAAGTAGCCTCGTGGACCCACTAAGCAGAGAAGTGCTCGCTACAGTGTTTGAAACCTATCAGAGAGCAATGAATACATTCATCAAAGACGCTCAAGTGGGAAACTAATGAGTAACGCTAAAGTTCGGAACTTTAAGAAGACGAGTTGAAAAAGTTAAACACTTTCTGATCAAAAACAAGATTATAACTCTGCCCATGAACATAAATCATCAAATCGTAATTGGGTTTTTCTTGAAAACTCGACTAATCACAGGATTACATACGAAATGAATACATAGATTGGAGTTAAGAAATGTCTTTCAACGAGATAGATTCTAGCTTACTTTGCATAAGGATCCAGACCCATGAAGCGCCATGGAAAGAAGAATCGAACAAAATCAAAGATGGGAATTAGGGTTTCGAATCGATGATCAAATCAATCAATCAGGATGAAGCTCAAGAGTCTTGAGAATTCAGGATAAAATTAATGGGCTTTGCAACATAGCCCATATTTAGATTAGTACTTTATAACCTTAGGCCCAATTAATTTACCCAACAAGAGAGTAAAGAACTTTTTTTTTTTTTGACAACGAAAGAATTTAAAGATCACCCCCTTTATGGTTTAAATATGGTGGATTGTGAATCATTATTGTTTGATCAATCTATTTATCTCCATTTGTGTTTATCTTATTCGTAGAGTATGTATGAGTGCATGCATTTTAATTGAAATATTAACTTAGATATACGATCAGATTCAGACTTTATGATTCTTGCAAGTATTAGTGTGGTGCATGTAATGTATGAGTTTTTTTTATCATGTATATGTCCGTGGCTGCTAAGTATACGTGCATGCTGGTCTTCGTAGACTAATAAGATATTTAGACTTACTACATGTAGATATTGTAGGGGTGAAAGTTTTTTCCTTTTCTTTTTCTTTTTGGTAAAATGGCGAAGTTTTTACAGAGAGATTAGAGCCTAACCAAAATCATTGTTTACATCATGATCCTCTTGGAGTAAATGTATGAAGGGTTTATTATTTATAAGAAAATATGTTATGAACCAAATATACAAAAGAAAATTTGTGTCATGGAATTTTCAGGTTTGTAACAGCTCAAAGAGTTTGTGAGAGTTTTTGATTCAGAACCAGAGGGTAGAATGTAGGTTTTGTTTTTAATATGTGCGTATGATTTTATATGTATGTATTAATTTTAATTATATATATTGTCCAGCTAAACGAGCGTCCCATTATAAATACTATTTAGAGGTCTTTGGGCCAGCAATGAGCAAAATAAATCAAACGATTTGATAACGATATGTTTATAAGAGTCACAACATGATTACATGGAAGATGACATATGATTTTATGAGTTAAAAGTAGTAGGATGAATATTACACTCCCAAGTTCCAATATTAACAGAAAAATTCTCATAAATTAAACTAAATGTATCTAAGATGATCCATTGAAAATAGACCCTAATGTTAGGCTAAATTGAAGACAAAAACTCAACAAATATGATATGTTGTTTCTGAAATAAAACATGTAAGGTTTAATGTTCAAATGTACAAATCAAATGCAACAAGCAAACTAAATTCATTACAATATAGCTAACATCCTGTTGACATTTTTCGTATTTTAAAATAATTTGATTCCACGTTGAATGTTTCGCTAGTATAATATATTGTTGATCAACTATTTAACTACGATTTCAAATAAAATATTACTCTTATTTATTTTAAAAAAATATATAATTGTTCTTGGAAGCGGGAGTTTCACCAAGCACTTCAAAGTTTTAGTCAACCAGAAGAAAAAAAAGAAACCAATCTCATTACCGGCGATGGGCTGCATTTGCTTCAAGCCTTTTCGCCGTTCACCATCTCCGTCGATTAAATCTTCCATCATCAAAGAACTAAGTAAAAATCCTAGCCAAGTTTCTCCTCTTTTGCGTTTCAAGAAGTCAATGATTGATAAACTAACCTCCTTATCGTTTTTTCCTATGCAGATAACAAAGAAGATGAGGAGGGAAGCTCATGTCCGAGTTTCCGAGAGTTCAGTTTGGAACAGTTAAAGTTCGCTACTAATGGATTCTCCTCCGAGAATATCGTGTCGGAACACAACGAGAGGGTTCCTAATATCGTATACAAAGGGAGCCTCAACGATGGAAGAATGATCGCTGTTAAGCGGTTTCAGAGGCTTTCTTGGCCTGATCCTTCTGAATTCATTGTTAGTAGTCCTTACCCTAACAATACTTACTGTTATAAATTATAATAACATTCATATGCTATTATAAAATGAAAAAAGAAAGAACTTAGCATTTAAAAGTTGTATATGGATGAAAATATAAATTTATAAAAACGAATAAGTATTCAGATGTTGCATCCAGATACTCCTTTTCTGTTTGGTTTGTTCTTCGTTGACTTGATTAATTGAAATTTTTGCGAATTTTTTCTTGAATGTGGTAATTTTCAAGATTTTGATCGGTTACACATGAAATTTTCATTTCTTCTTGACTTGGTAAAAGATAAAAATTACGTGCTAGCATGATCTCTTGCACAGTGGAAATTTCTTGAATATGGCTTTGTTTTTGTTTTTGTTTTTAGGAGGAAGCACAAGCGGTGGGGAGGTGTAGGAGTGAGGATATGGCTAATTTGATAGGTTGTTGTTCAGAGGGTCATGAGAGGCTTCTCGTTGCTGAGTACATGCCTAATGGAACACTAGCAAAGCATCTCTTCCACTGTGAGAGAGAGAGTCAACCTTTTTACATTTTCTTGAATTTAGCCGTAAGAGTTTCATTTGAGTGTAACAAAGTTGTTTCACTGTGGTTTTTCAGGGGAGAAACGACCAATGAAATGGGAAACAAGGTTGAAGGTTGCGTTACGTACTGCGACAGCCGTGGAGTATTGTAATGATAGGGGAATAGATTTGTATCATGATCTTAACACTTACAGAATATTATTCGATAAGGTTATAAACATTTCATTTCTCAGGTTTGGTATCTTAATAATTATCATAACTTAACTACTTTAAGTGTTCAAATAGGTTGGGAATCCAAGGCTGTCTTGTTTTGGTCTCATGAAGTGTAGCAGAGAGGGGAAGAGTTACAGCACCAATTTAGCATTTGCTCCTCCTGAATATTTACGTCTAGGTTTTGTACCTTTCTCAAGAGAAAACTTTTAAACTTTATTCAGAATATTCATTAACTTTATGTGTAACTTTGCTTAGGTACTGTGGTACCAGAGAGTGTCATATTCAGCTTTGGTACCTTGTTACTAGATCTTATGAGTGGCAGACATATTCCACCAAACCATGTAAGTAGACTGTGATTAGTGCATCCTGAGGCATCATTTTATTAGTATTAAGACTATCTCCAATGGAACACTATTTTCTCTTTTATATTTTACACAAAAATAGAATAATTCTATTATAGAGTTGAATTTGCTCCAATGGTTCATTTTATAATAGAGTTACTCTATTTTAACGTGAATTCTTTTTCACTTCAAATATAGAGTAAATATCCAACATCTCTCTATATTTCACACTATAATAGAGTAATTCTATTATAAAATGAATCATTGGAGCAAATTCAATACTATAATAGAGTTATTCCATTTTAGTGTAAAATATAGAAAAAAAAAAATTAGTGTTCTATTGGAGATGCCTAACATAATGTATCTTGGCTTATCTGTCATTCCAGGCACTTGATCTGTTCCGTGGCAAAAACTTTTTGGTGCTAATGGATTCAGCTCTGGATGGTCAGTTCTCTGATGAGGATAGGACAGAACTAATCCACCTAGCTTCACGCTGTTTGCGTCCTGAACCAGACAAGAGACCAAGCATAAAGTTTCTTTTGTCGGCTCTTTCAAGACTTGAGAGGAGAGCTGAGTCGTGGCCTAATGTCAAAGGAGAAAACATCCCTGTAAGTCATGATAACCACATTTGATTCTTCCAAGTTTTTTTGTGCACACTTTAGTTTAAATTATGTATTCATGTAACTTAACAATGACAGGCTCCATTGTACAACACTAAACCTTCAACAAAGAAGTCATTGCGCTTGAGCCCTCTTGCTGAAGCATGCTGGAGAGTAGATCTATGTAGCATACATGAACTGCTTGAGAAACTCGGATATGGAGAGGATGATGCCGCGGTCACAAATGAGGTATTATATACATGTTTGTGAGAAACATAATCTCTTGCTAGGTTCAAGAAATCACTAGGCCACAATTATGTTATTATTGATTAGGAAGATGTCTAAACAATTTGTATTTTTAAAATTAATCTAGAAAATCGTTTGCTAACCTAAACCGATTTTTAGAACACTGATCTCTTAAATACATTTAAATATTTCATCCTGAGGTTGCCAAAAATACATTTCAGTTCTCATTCCAAATGTGGACGGGTCAAATGCAAGAGAACACTGATTACAAGAAGCATGGAGATGCTGCATTTCGTGCTAAGGATTTTGAAACTGCAATAGAGTTCTACACAGAGGTATCATTATAAATCATCAAGAAACCTTTTTTTTTCCCCCACAAAAAAATAATTATACATTTATTTATAAAGATATGCAATTCTTTTATGAACAGTTCTTGAGTGGAGCACCAGTGGTATCACCAACAGTGTTAACCAGACGGTGTCTATGTTACCTAATGAATGATATGTTCAGTGAGGCTCTCAGCGATGCTATGCAAGCTCAGGTTGCATCTCCAGAGTGTTCAACCGCTCTCTACTTACAAGCGTCTTGTCTCTTAAAGCTTGAGATGAAAGCTGAAGCTAAAGAAGCACTTAGACATGGCTCTTCTCTTGAAGCTTTTTAGAGTTCCAACAATAACCACAAACCCAATATTTGTACAGCTTCTTTCTGTCCATAGAAATGTCAATACACACATAGCATATATACTTGTTTGATTGTTTGGCTTTTGTTTGCTTAAACCAGTTTTTTCTTGCTGTTTTTCCTTTGATATTAACTGGATTGTGTTTCTCTCTTCTCTTACATGTTCACACTAATTAGTAGTGTCTCTTGATATTAAGCATCATTGTAGGCTTTGTTGTGAAATCATGTTACAAAGTGAAACAGCTATACAAGTCACATGAATGTTTGAAAAGACTCAATTTCATAACTATATAAACTATTTCTACTAAATTACATCACAACTTTGATTACAAGTAACACTCAAGCTCTCTGAGATCAGGAGATGAGAAGAAAAAAACAAAAAATAAATAAGGTAAGCAAATCTGAAGAAGAAAACTCTCAGTTACTCTGTTTTTATGTAGACAACACATTGGTTCTGCTCTTTCCTTGTTCAGACACCATACAATGATCTCGATGTGCTCTTGTGCCCTGAGACCTTAACCGACCAGCAGCTTCCTCCATCGCCCTCACACTGCTACTCTCTAAACCGCTTCTCAACCAAGCGAGGCTGCTTATATCCGTTGCTATAGCGGCTAGTTCATAACTCGGGAACGTTGGTGGGTCTAAGTAGTCTACAAACTCTTCTGGACCTAGCAATGAGCTTTTCTGAGAAATGCTGCAACACCCACTTCCGCATTTCTGAGGCACAAACCGTTCACTGTAAGCTCCTTCAAGCAATCTCATCATTGCTGTGTCTTGTTTACATGATTGGAACTTGTTTTGGTTTAGTACATGTGGAGAGGAAGAAGATCCTTCCATGTGATTGTAAGGATTAAAGGAACTGAGTTTGGCTACTGGGCGGAAAAGCGTTGGAGGATCATCATTACATTCTTGCCTAGAAATGTCTTCCTCGTTTGTTTTGTCTGCGCATTGTTCTTCAGATATTTCCATGGAGGTGGCTTCTTTGCCGTCTGAGGATACAAGTGGAGTAGTTACATGTCCACCACCACCACCACCACCACTTGAAGATAAAGTTTCTTCAGATGATGCGATGGGGTTCAACGTTCTGCTGAATCTAGAATCTTCCAGGACTAAGTTTCCAGTTCTTGTATCTGTTGTCAGCATTATGTCCGTGCATCGACGTCTTAGAGTGGCGTTCCAGTGGTTTTTGATAGCGTTATCTGTTCTTCCGGGGAGGAGCTTGGCGATGATAGACCATTTGTTTCCGTGGATGGCATGTGCTCTGATGATAGCCTCATCCTCTACCTCTTTATAAACCCAACAATAAAAAGACAAAGACGTTTCTGATTTAGTGATACTGATGAGATAGCTACCGAACCAGAGCATTACTATGACACAAAAATAACGCAAAACTTGCAAACACTCAACTAATGCA